TAAAATGCTACATTTCCAAAAATATATATATTTTTTCTGCACCAGCACCCTTGTAGAGTAAAAGTATCTACTTTGTTCGTTTGTTTCAATGCACTACACTTATCTACAATTTCATTACATGGATACAGCGATAGGCAAGCATGGCTTTTACATCCTTAATGATTTTTTTCTATACAGGGAGGTTTTAAAAAAAACATTTGAACAGTTTGCCCAGTAATGTGACACATAATGCATGTACCTTGTTCTCATGTCTTTTTAAGGAGCTGTAAAATAAAGGTTCAGTAATTTTAACTCAGATATTTATCTTTTTAAAAATAGTGTTGCAGTTTTGCTCTTTGCATTACTTTTCAAATTCCTCGCTGAGTTTCCCCGCGTGGCACACTCGTGATGCTGCACATTTTGGCAGGCGACAGGAAAAGGCTGCAACCGCTGCCCTCTGAGGGCACTGTAGTGACTAAAGAGCGCATCACGTTCTGAATACTAGTGACGCCACTCCACCCCGGCCCCCCGACCAAGGCTCATGCATGATGCATCACCACACGTACATTCAGAGCGTGGACTCGCCATGAGAAGAAGGCTTCCTAGGAAGTCTCTCACAGTAACTGCCTGTCACTGAGTCGTTAAGGGCCACCTGCCTCCCTCCTGAAGTGAGGCCTTCTTACCGTTCGCTTGGGGCGGGACGTGGAAAGATGGTCAGTGCTGTGGGATGAATCGGGCCTTATTGCTTTGCTACTATTCAGTGCAGGTTCTAGAACCATTTTCACCCAAACAGTGAAAACAAAAACAGAAACCAAAAGCTGAGTCGGAGGACAACAATTTCTTTGTCTTTTGTTTGGTTAGATGGTAAGACGAACGGACAAGTGCCTCAGCTCGCTGCACTGACGACAGGCAAGCAAAGGCGATTACCAGTTAACTGATCAGCAGGCAGGCATGGTCAGGTCATCATTGGGTGAAGAGTTCAGAGGTCAGAAGGTCATAGGTTAGTTGCCGGTGGCGGCTGGGTGGTTAGAAACAAAAAACAAAACAAAAAAAAAAAAAAGAAAAGAAAAGATAGAGAAGAGATTAGTCTCAGCTAGTGACGGCTTAATGACAACATGAAAAACTAATCACAACTAATAAAAAAAAGCATGTGTAACTCTGACAAACTGACTGACACCATCTACAGAATACAATAAAAATCATGACAATTTCATATCATGATTTGAACAAATGAAGGAGAGCCCTCTCCCACAAAAAAACTGGTTAACAGGAAAAAATAGAAATAAAATATAACTAACAACTAACAGTTAGTAGCTCGGTGAAGGGAACCGGAGGACAGTGAGGGTCCGTGCCGGGCTCTGGAGCAGTCGGGGCAGCTCTCAGGCCTGGCTGCTACCAAGCATTAGTATCTCTCAGGTGCAAGCATTAGAGCAGCTATTAATGATGGATGTGATTGATTATTAATAACTGATGATTAACAGAAATGAATCTACAGAAATTTAATTTTCTATGAACAATTTGGTTCAACATAAACTCTGGGCCAAACAAGGTTTCTTTTGTTCAATAAATGTTTATTGCTTTTCAATTGTTCTATTTACAAACAACGTGGATTTCTTGGCCTCATGATACAAAGCGACACTAAACTGGAGTCTAGCATGTAGGCAACATCATGGGAACCAGAAAAGGCCAGGCCCTGGGCGCTGGCCAACACTTTCCAGTTGAAAATACTATTTTACACATATAGAACACTTATAAAATGCACTTGCATGTAAACACTGTAAAGTCCTGCCATTTAAAATTCTATACTCAAAAAGCTCTACGTACATCAAAAAATAGAAGAAATTTCTAATTGATACCAATAAGGCATTTTAAAACTACAAACAGCTTTCTTTATTCAATTTCAAAGCTAATTCTCTGCAAATACAATAAAATCTGACATTTCATATACATTCCTGCTTTATATATTTTAAAAGAAGCCACCTGTAAATACTATTTTCTTTTGCAAAATAACAAACAACAAAAAAAATTAAAAAAATTACAGTAAAACATAAAGTAGTTCTCAAGTGGAAAAGTTATTGTCCCCAATGTCCTCAGTTGCTCCTTCCTGAATCAACCTCTGTCACATTCTGATTCACCAAACTTGGTCCACTTAACAGTAGTATGGTTTTTTAAGACTCATTCAACAGCTTAATTATTTCTACTCTATTCTGAGGTTTGAAAGGAATTTCTGTACTGTCGCCACTGTGACTACGGCAGAGGAGATAGAAACACTTCAGTGCAAAGGTAGCTTCTGTGCCACTTCGTAAATCAAACCCAGTGGGTCTCGTGGTCACGGGGTTAAATGATCTACGAAACTGACTGGTTTATCCTCATGGAACAAAAGTGCTTTCTGTGGTCTATCATTTAGGATCGTTTATAAATACTACAAAAATACTGTATCTTCAGTGTGACCAAATCTTCCCTGAATTTCTTAAAAATAGTGGGATTTTATTTAAAATAAAAACGGCTATTCCATAATCAAAGGAAATAAATATTTCACATGATGCAGTCATACGATTTCATAGGTAATCCAGAAACACAGAATCTTAAAGCATTTTTGACAGTAATTAAATTTTGATTAAAATTGTATTAAGTTTCTTACACAAATTGTGTAAATGAAGGTTTTGTGAAATCACTGTTCAGGAAAATTCTCTCTCTGGGGAATCCACAGACCGAGCACACGGCCGCTTGTCTGCCAGCACACGGAGCCTGTCCTCTGCCAAGCCCTGGCCGCCTACAGCACACACAGGGTGTCAACCGTGCAAAATCGCGTACGGTTCATCTCAACTGAAGTCAGTTGGTCTTTTATAGGCTTCAAACTCAGTTCTGAAATGTGTAGAGGTGGCTTGTTTTTAGTAAAGAACTAGATGTTTGTCAACCATGCCGCACTCTACATGCTCACACAGCATTCCCTGGTTACGGGCCCAAGGGCTGAGTTTCCTGGCATTAAATGAACACTTATATTAACCTTTCCTTCAAAAGATTAAAAAATAATAATAAAAAAACCTCAAAAATAGAGAAAACAGTAGTCTCGTAAAATAATTTAAGTGAAGGACTTCAGACATCTCCCTTAGACCCAATGAGTGCACAGTGACAGGAACAGCAGGATACAAAATCTTCTGTTATTTAGAAGGGAAAAAAAGGTAGCATTTCGGTTTGCTGACATTGCGTTTTGAATAAAAACAGTGACAAGACTAATCAAGACACGTGTAACTACAAAGGAGCCATGCATGGAATGTGTTCTCGTTTTGAAATACAATTAAAATCTCCTAACATTTTCAACCACCTCAAGGTACTGGAGTATCAAGTAGGCCAATAATTATTAAGTTAAAAAGAAATTATGAAAAATCTCAAAGGGGAATACAAGGAAAGGTTGACAGAAGACAAATTACTTTAAAGTACTCGTAACTATTTGAGACAATAACTATGGGGAAAAGCTTCAGATTACTCATGGAATTATCTGGAATCTTTAAATCTAAATGCTTTTCTTCCTTTTTAAAAATGTCCTCCTCTGAGAGACTTGTTCTGTGCAGGAGGGTGCTGCGCACACGTGTGCACGACACACTCTCAGGAGTGTTACCTTCAGAGGATCGCTGAGCTTGGGGCCTGTTTACTTTGTTCATTAAATAATCACTGCAAGTAATGTATTAGTTAACAGTCTTCAAGGCTCTTTAATTACATATGATGCTAAGTAAATATGGTCGATGTCTTTGGAAAGGCGTTTTATCCTGATGTGGACAGCGCTGTGTCCCATACTCAACAGTGTTCAGGAGAACCTTGCGAAGCAGGCAGGCCTTCCACGGCTCACAGGAGATGTAGAACTGGGGTGAACCCATCCCTTTCCCACTAATACTCGGTGGTTAGGTCAACAGGTTCAGTAGGAAATAAATGTGCCCTAAATAATGCGTGTAAAGCCCACTGCTACCTTGCTTCAGGTTCCTAACTTGTGATTTCAAACTCGGAAAAATAATTCAATGTCAATAAACCGAAAATATCACTCCTCAATAAACATAAATAATTTATAGAGGGTCCAAGGGCATATATAGGACACAGATTACAAACGCTGAAAAGGAGAACATGAAGACTTATTTTCCAGTCACAGGTTAGTCAAAAAGGTATTCGAACAGCTGGGCTCACGCCACCACAGAACCTCAAGGGATAGCTGACCTTTAGATAATGTATTTTAGCAGCAAATGACAAAAATCAAAGGATCCATTTTGGAATTAAATATAAGAATAAAGGGAACTGATTTTCTGACTTATAAAAGACCCAACTGCATCAGTTATCTTCACAGTCCTTGCTCTGCTGATCTCAGCTGAGTACTTGACATGTATAACCTCATGTTTATACAGTGGCTCAAATATCTTAGTAAAGAGGAAAAGGGGAAACTAAATCTTCAGTTTTCTCCAAAAGAACACAGGAGGCATATAGCCCTTTACTTCTCTCATTAAAGCACCATCTGCTCAGTTCATTTTGCAAAACCAAACCAAAATTTCAGAACAATTAAAAGGTAACTTTTAGCAAAAATTTTTGAAAAATAATTAAGACGAAACCAAAATTTAATAGCTCCCCAAATGGACTAATTTATGTTTTAGTAGGGATAAATCATAGTACATACTAATAGAATTCAATAAGTTAAAATATGAAGGGAGGAAAACCCCCCCAAAAACCCAACCCTTAAATCTGTCAATTGTGATAAATTAACTTAGAAAAGGAAAAGAAATGCTGTGCAGGTAAGTAAGCAGCTACCCATCCCCATCAGGTGTGGTGTTGCAAATCGTACGGACACCCAAGGCATTTCTCATAAACAAGAACTGCAGAACTAAACTAACCTCGGTCTGCGGTCACAATCCTTTGGTAAGGATGGACACGCATATCGTGCCTTCGAACTTTAGTAGCCACCGCACCTAGTTAAATTGCAATTACCAAGACAAAGTTAGAAAACATTCACAAGGGGAAAGAAAACAAACATTAACAGCAGGTTTATCAAAATGGATTTCAAATGTTCATTTACTACAAAAATGTCATTTTAAGAAACATGTTAAGGCACAGTAGTTTTAAAATTAACCATAATATGTTGCGTATATATGCGTCTACTCATATTGCATTCACTTCAAACGTCTTGGCCTTAACCTATGTTATCCATTCATTTACAATCCCAGGTTAACAGTATCTCATGAGCTCTAAGAGATGCAAACATTGGAGCTTTACTAGTCACATATTCACTGACGTGCCTTTTGCAGCAGGACCATTTAAAATAATGCCATGTTTAATACTGACAATTACTTGCTAACCTTAAGACCACTTCCAGAGTTTATCACTTAAAAAGGTTTATAAGCAATTCTTAAAGCCTACAGATTGTGGTTTTAAACTCTGAGTCAATAAGTATGAACCGCAATGAATTAGGTGATTAGTAAAGCAAACAGTACAGTACACTTAGCAGTCAGCATACTACTACACACTCCTTTATAAATTACCGTTACTTTGTAAGATTATAGACTAAACCAAATTAATAGCATACTTTGACTTTCTATCAGTGTGCAAAAAGTGCAAGTAAGCCACTGACTGCTAGGCTAAGCGTCCCTCCCCCCGTGCTGCTGAAACTAAGCATTTGTTAAGTTCAGATCTGATGAGAGTTCGGTTAAGACCGTTCTTGAATTCTTAGCCTTTCGCTGGGAAAGCCATACCTAAAGATAAAAGGAAGGGAATTAAACATTAGTCACCAATGAAGACTCGACGCTATCACCAATCTCCTCACTACCACCAAAACACATGCCTGCATCTGTTCTGAAGGGCACTGCTCAGTTTAAAATAGTAAGATGTGAGACTGGATAGAGAGCATGCATGTTATCTGTGTGCAAATTTACTGTAACTTAGCAAATGAAACAACTTTCTCAATTCTCCAAGTGGTAATCCATATCATGCTTTACTGCTTAGGTGGCAAAGCGAGAAATAAAACTGATCATAATGAGGTTTTGTCTTTTAGCACTCATTAATATTCATCTTATGAATGTCAACTAGATACTGGCATATTTTGCTTTTGCCAGTCTAGTAATTAAGTATTATAAATAAAAATTTCCCAACACAACCAAAAGCACATTGCTTTAAACTGAGAAACACTCTGCAGTGCCCCTTGTTTTTTCTAAGCAGTAAACTGGTCCATCGTCCCTTCTACGTTTCAGATAAACTAGGCTTATAGGGTCTAACTCCACAAGGCAGGCTCGGTGAGCTCCTGCTCCGGGTGCTGGAGCAGCAGCTGGGGGCTGAGTGCCAGCCCTGCAGGAAGCGAGTCCACCTCCTCCAGCAGGCGCTGTGCGTGCAGCAGAGAGGAGCTCTGGGGGAGAGGAGCAGGCGTGGCCACAGGATAGAGCGTTAACAGAAAAGAAAACGTAAACGGGTTACATGTTACATGTTATTTTAAAAATGCTTCAAGAAATGTGCAACAGAAACAAGCCTTTCGTAGGCAGCGCTATGGCATGATTCTGACCTGGAACCTTTATACAGTGGCTTAGAGATAACCGAAAACACGTACAATGAAAGGTCCTTGCTCATGAAACAAGGCACCTGAGTGCATGCACACACAGATAACATACAGAGCATTGTGCTTTCCTTAGCTGAACAATGAACTCTTAAGTTTAAATCTTTGTCCGGGTTCATGAAAGGCTTTCAAATTTTGATAAATCAGTATGAATGCTGGAAAAAAACCTTAAAAGATCCAAGTCCTAAAAGTGAACAGCACGCATGCAGCACCAGGGTCAAACACAATTCAAGGAAAAGCGTGCTCAGAGTCTGTCTGCAAAACAAAGGGCAGCTCGAAGCAGCCTGTCCACAGGACTGGTCGTGTTACAACAGCTGCTGTACTCTAGTCCTTCATCCAGCAAGTCAATGGGCTGAAATATCAGGCATGACTGGCATTTCAATCCACTCTATAAAAAAAAGGCATCAGTAATGTCTTTTTCAAGCACACCACCTTTTGTTCATGTAAAACTGAGCGTCTATAGTATGACTTAATTTTTGCCTCAAGAGTGATTCTACCTCAGTCACTTGGTATTTATTTATCAATTCCACACTGTGCACCTGAAATTAGGAGTTGCTCTTATGTCTGATATTAACCTGGACTTCAAAAGGACAGAATGGAAAAAACTTGAAGAATGTAGTTGTTTACTGAGACCCTTTCATAATTAAGTTATCACATATCTTAGGAAATTCACACAATCACAGCAGTTTTAAAAGTCTCTAAGTATTTTCACATAGATTATTAAAATTTAGCCAACAAATATATCTCTGATATGAAAATAATCTGACTTTGTGGCAAAACTAAAGGAGAGAATATGCCAGTGGGTGGGGTCTCAGTGATGCCAAATTGAAGTATTTCCTGTTTGAAATGCCCAAATTTACCCATCCAGAGTGAATCTGAGATACCAAAGCAAATCTGAACAAATCTAGGATGCAATTATTTAAAAGGGGGAGCCTTATGAGGGGCTGTAACAAAACAAAACTTCGTCTTCAGTCTTTCCTAATGGAAACCTGTCTCTCTAAAACTAATATGATTTCAAAGTCTGGGGCAGCACAAGTTTTGAAAAATGTTCCCCAAACAGAGAAAACCACTTACCTAATACACCGCTAGGTTCAATAGGGTACTCAAGGATTGACGTGGCTGGTGCCAGCGTGTAGGGGTACTCGTAGGGCGTGTAGATCAGGCCAGCCTCGGGCCCAGGAGGAACTATTGCAGCCGTGGGGTGAGGAGTGCCATTGGGCATGACCGCCGTCTGTATCTGTCTGATCAAAGGCATGATGGTGGGGCCGGCTGGCGTCGGGGTGCGCAGGGCCGCTGGTGGGAGCACAGGCGCTGGCCCAGTGATGATCCTTGGCGCAGCCTGGGCTGTTGCTGCAAGAGAAAAGGCAAGGGCTGCTACAGTAAGCAAAGAAATTTAGAAGGAAGTAGAGAGAGCAGTGCAAAATACAGGAAACGAGAGGAAGTAGGAAAAAGAAAGGGGAGGGCGGGAAGGAAGAAAAACAAAAGGAAACCATTAGTACATGCGCTGGCCACACACAATGCAAAGCATACCCATCAAAGCGAACGGATTCCCCTTTCCCAACGTGATTAAGAACAAATGTGCAAAAAGTAAAAAGCCAATGTAAAACAACCACAAAAAACCCCCAAACACCAAGACCATTACAAGAGGTTATGTTTAGTTTGAATGTCTGAATATCCACGTCTTTCAGATCTCATAAGGCTAAAAGGTGCCTGCAGAGGTGCAAGAAAACACTCGCACTGAAAGGTGTTTAAAACATATTGTGTAATTGGAGTCCACGGAAACAGTTCTGGTATGTTTCTAATATAGTAGCTTCAGTTTCAAATTAAAGAAAGAATAATTTTTATTGTATTAAGCCAACTAACCACAACTTATATATAAATTTCCTGCATATGTAGGAATTAACTTCTCACAGAAATACAACACAAGGTGGGGCAAAAGTAGGTCTATAGCTGTTCATATGGAAAACAGCATGATAACTGGTAAGTAACAGCGAGAACAAGCTGTTCCGGGTGCACCACTGTGCACTCGCTCTCGCCCACCCTGTGTAATACGTGGCCCACTCCTCAATTCCTGATGTTAACAGACCCACTCTGACGAGTGAACTGAAGCCAACCATTTGTAAAGCAACCACATCTAAACCCAACAGGTTGTCTGCATTTTGGAAAATTGCCTAGAACTTTAAAATTCAAAATTTCATTTCTTTAAAAAAAAAAAAAATTAGTATTTAGCTTTAGATTTACTCAAAATACAAATTTTACGTTATTTCACTTTAAATACAAAAAAGCAATCCTCTTATACAGTTGATGACAGCAAGCACGAATACAAGTGAGGGGCAGCGGGTGAGCTAGCTGTCGCCCACTGCGCTTGGGAACTCACACAGTCACTAGAGAAGGCACCGGAGGGAGCAGCGAGCACGCTGGAAGGACAGGCTCCCATGGAAGAGCGTTCAGACACAGCCCAAATACTCTTAAAAGGGTTTACAGAGTAAGCTAGAAGCCTCAAGTCTTAGTTAACAAAATAGGAAATTTCATTAAACTCTTGAATTCAGAAGTTGAAATTTCATCAAAAGAATAAAAGTTTTTAAACCCCAAACTTAAAAAGACAGGCTGGGAAAAACTGAGAAGAGTGTCCACAATCTGTGCAAGCAGTAAAAGTGGGACCGTCAGTCCCATATCAAGCGACAGGTGTTTCCCCTCTTCGCGGGCTACGCCGCCGAAAGGAGAGGCCTGCGACAGGCAGCGGAGACGGCCCAGCCGGCCCGGCAGCGCTCTTACGTGATTTGATGTTGGCGTCTCTGTAGGTGCCGTTCAGAATCGCGAGCTCCATCAGCTGCATCTTCTTCAGGCTGTCTTCCCCCTCTGCCTGCACGTGGAAAACAGACCAGTGAGCACCCAGGACGGTCCACACACCACAGCCACAGCCGCGCTCCAGCCCTATAGCCGACACCATGGGGCTACAGCCACCGGCCCGCCAGGACAGGGCGCTCTGGGCACCGGGGCTCAGACGTGCTGAGGACGGCCCCTCACGGATGGCACGTGCACACAGGGCGCACTGGGCTGCCACTGGCTGCATTTCTAGGGGGCATTTTTTAATGTAAGCTACCCTGATTTACTGAAGTTCTCCTAAAAGGCTTTGCTTTTAAATGGAATGAATGAAAATGTTAGATGAGATTAAATATAGTATGTTAAAGATTCCAAAGCTCAAATGTATTCACTAAAAGACAAAAAAAAACCCCCAGCCCTGGCTGGTGTGTTCAGTGGTTAGTGTCGGCATGCACACCTAAGGGTCTTGGGTTCGATTCCCAGTCAAGGGCATGTCCCTAGGTTGCAGGTTCGATCCTCAGCCCCAGTTGGGGAGGCAACCAATCAATGTGTGTCTCTCACATCCATGTTTTTCTCTCTCTCTCCCTCCCTCCCTCTCACATTCTCTAAAAAGCAGTGGAAACATATCCTTGGTGAGGATTAGTAACAACAAAAGACAGAAACAGGGATTTTAAACATGTAAGATTTGATTGTATATTCAGATAAGAGAATTTTCTGTTTAATTCTCAAACAAGAAAAACTTAATAAAGTCATAAGAATTTCTAAAATTTGTATGTATATTGTGCCAACATCTCCTCCTCCCCTAAACTAGAATGAGCAAGTGCTATCAACTCTAAAGCAAATTTACCTTATGAGTCGCCATCTGATGTATTGTCCAAACCACTGACCATGAAAGGAGGCAGGGGCACTGTTAACAGCTATGACCACAGGCAAAGCCCAGCATCACCTGATTATCAAAATGCTCAGCCGTCCCATTTACCTGGATTCACCTCACGCTTCCCAGTTACTGATGTCACCCACATATAGTCATTATTGGGCTCTTATCAAAACTACTCCAACATTATGCTAATGATGTCTGCTCACCAATCAGTCTATACACAGTGGCCAGATTAATTGCCCAAAATGCAACTTTCATCCTAATGCTTTTTTTAAAAAAATCCTCACTTGAGGATACTTTTTCCATTGCTTTTCAGAGAGAGGGGAAGGGGGGGGGGGGGAGAGAGAGAGAGGGAGGGAGGGAGGGAGAGAGAGGGAGAGAAACATTGATGTGAAAGAGACACATCAATTGGCTGCCTCCCGCACGTGCCCGGACCAGGGCCTGGGATAAAGCCTACAACCGAGGTATGTGCCCTTGGCCAGAATCAAACCGGGGACCCTTCAGTCTACAGGCCGATGCTCTAACCACTGAGCCAAACCAGCTAGGGCCTAATGCTTCTTAACCTCAAGTCTTGAAACCCTTCATGGTTTCTTACTATCTAAAACTATAAACCATTCAAGCTACCTATGATCTGGCCCCAGACGATGCTCTCAAGTTAAGCTCATTAATCTTCTACTTTTCTGGCATACCTTGTTATAAATCAAGCCAAACCATCCCACTATTCATCCCTGTGTACGTCCCGATCCTCCGCCTTGAAAGCTCCTCTCTGCCCCTCAACCCACCACTTTCCAAACCCACTGAGCCCTGCAAACTTCAATGTAAATGACACCTTCAAAGGGTCACTCCTGGATCACGCAGTTTCTGTCTTGAATTAGCATGTTGTGTACCATCATTAATAAAACAAGCTCCTGGGGAACAGAGATGCCTTATTTATCGCCTATCTCCCCATTCACCCCCACCACCCCGCCCCAAGTTATTTGCTGAACTTATTTTTAAATGGCTAGTATGAGAAAGCTTTAATTTTATTCCCCAATCTCAAATGTGCAAATCCTACAGGATAAACTTTACCACAGTAACATAAAGCGGAAGATGAAGTCCGCTGACTGAGGTGGTAGTAGGGAAGGAACTGCACTGTTCTATGCTTTATGCAGTAGCCAATGCTCAGGACTTAATATTTAAAAGTCACCGATTGTACACTGCTCAACAGGAGCGGCCCTGGTAGGACAGCCTCCTTTTCTATAGCAACTGCTAACAACACAAAACCCCTGACTCTGGGACTATAGCTGAATACAGGGCACTGTAATGTGCAGTAAAGAGAACTGGTGCTATAACTTGGAGTAAATGAAACACAAGGAACTTAAAGAAAAAGATGAATGCACATGTCCTAAGACCATGCTTAATGTGCCACTGCCACCTTTTCAGAAGCCCACGTTGCAGTAGAGCACGGAGAAGACCGTGCAGCCTGCGAAACTGCTATTCCTTGATTCCTATGAACTTGTACAGATGGAAGAAAATAAAGCAACATGATTTCTTTGAAAGGCCAGCAATTAACTGTTAAAGATAAAAGTAAGTAAGCACTATTACCAGAAGGGAAGAATTGGAAATCCATTACAAGAAAACTCCTTAAACTTGTTCACTGAAAACTAATACTAGAAATTAAAATTAATCATGTAATTTCAAATTTAAATCCCTGGAGCTATATAATAGAGTACCAGTAAAAGCATATAAATTATACTTTACATAAGTCAGAAAAAAAGCACTAGCTATACTAAGGTCGTTTTCCAGTGAGAAAGTAGCACACGTATGAAAATGGCCGCAAACAGAAATAAAGGCGGACAAGTGATGTGCCTTGGTGATGTGCCATGGGGACGGGCCACAGTGCCCCACAGGGCCGTGCAGAGAAGAGGCACCTGACACCTGTTTCTCCTTGACTGCTTCTCTGGGTAACCAAGTCGCTGCACCCCGTAGCTGGATGCAGTGTCGAACACAGAGAAAGCCAAAGACAAGATAATGGAAGACACCAGGGGCTGTGCACGCACGTGGGCACCTTTCAGGTGCAGGAGGCTAAGTAACGGATGCAGTGACATCAGCAGACCCCCGAGAAGAGGGTGAAAGCCAGAGCAGCAGCACTCTCACCAGGGGTGCCATGGGGGTGCCTGATGATGTCACTAGAGGCCACTGAGACTTACAGATTGAGAACTACAGTGTGCACACTGGGTCACATCACATGGTGGCAGGCTACACACCACCTCCTAGCAGAGCACAGAACTGAGCTGGCAAAGCTCAAACTTGACCCTGGCACCTCACTCCAGAAGGAGCTTCACTCTGGCGTCCCCACCTCTCCCACCACTGCGTACTCAGAGCATAATGTCCTGTCTCAGGAAACCGCACAGGTCACGAGAGACTGGCTCTCGCACTCAAGTGGTTATTCCACCTTTGTGTCCTGGTCTGTCAATGAACCTGACAGTATCACCTCCCTGAGCACTGTGGAAGGTGCATGCCACCTCTTTTTCAAATACAATTTCAGACAGGAAACCGTGCCGGTTTCTTAAGTTACCTCTACTAAGCTTTTCCCTCTGCCTGGGCCTCAGACCAGCGTGTTCCCCCTCTTCTCCCCTCCCTCAGAGACAAGAGGTGATCCAATGTGCTCTCCTGAAACGAGCAACTCAACCCCGGCCACGTCAAGCAGCGCCTGTGGAGCATGCTCAGAGTTGAGCGCCTCCAGAGGGAACACTGACTTCTCCATTACCTCAAAGGAGCTACTCTTAAGCAACCAAACCTAAGGTCCTAAAACGTTCTCTCACAACAAGCACCCATGGTCACCTGGAACCACAACGCTTCTCATTTCTCCAGTTCGTGCTCTACATTTAAAAATCAAGGTGTAATTTATACGCAGTGAATTGAGATCTTTGCTGCAGCAGCCAATCAGCTCTGGTGAACGCACGTCCAGACAGAGGACACGCCTCACTCAGAGAAGCTCCCGGCGCCTCTGCCCAGTCCAGCCCCACCGAGAAGGCCCTGGCAGGTCCCCACCACCTCAGCCCAGTGCTGCCTGCTCTGGAATCTCACATAATGGAGCTGAGAGTACACACTTTGTCCAGCTTCTCTCCTGGGTATTTATGAAACTCTTCCATGGGGCTGCACGTATCAGTGGTTGACTTGTTTTAACAGCTGAGCGGTATTTTGTTTGTTTATCCCTTCTCCTGCTGTGGCCAGTTCTTCGTTTTTGGGCACTGTGAATAAAGCTATTATGAAAACTGGAGGACTCCATGATAATCTGCTAGCTGTTTCCTTAGGTTATTTAAAGGTGCTCTGATTCCATTTCCTTATTTTTCCCAGTCTTCAATGTTCAGTTACCAGATGCTCATAAGCACCGACCATGACGTAGACACTGTGTTGAATCCAACACAGCAAGCGAGATGCTCACAAAGCAAAGCACGCTGGGGATGCTCACAGAGCCCGCGGGCGTATTGTGGAGGCCCATGACCGACCAGCCGTGGACCACCGCGGCAAAGTAAATATTGTGGTAAAGCAGGTCATGCACAGTTTTGGTTTCTCAATGCATATGAAAGTTATGTTATACTATGTGAACTCTATTAAGTGTTCAACAGCATAGTATCTGGAAACATACACCTTAAAAATCCTTTCAGGGTAGGAGGTGCTGGCCAGTGCGAGTCTTGAGTGAGCCGTGACTGCTCCGGGGGGTCTTGCCTTGACGTAGACAGCTGCTGCCTGACCCAGGCACTGTTTTCTGAAGGGTGGGGCAGCCGGGGCAATTTCTTAAATCAACAAGGAAGTTTGGTGCCTTAATCCACTCTTCCTTTCATGGACGATTTCTCTGTAGCATGTGATGCTGCTCTTCAATAGCATTTCACCCAAAGTACAACATCTCTCAAAATTGGAGTCCATCCCCTCAAGCCCTACTGCTGCTTTACCTGCCAAGTTTATGGGATATTCTAAGTCCTGTGTTGTCACTTTAACAATCCTCACAGCATCTTCCCCAGGAGCCAATTCCATTCCAAGAAATCAGGCTCTCTGCGCGTTCCCAAGAAGCACCTCCTCAACCGCTAAAGCTTTACCGTGAGGCTGCATCAGTCCAGTCCCACCTCCAGGCTCCACTTCTAAGTCTAGTTCTCTTGCTACTCCCATCACACGTGCAATTA